TAGACTATTAATCCAGAAACCCTGGTAATGTTCTGGGGACCCGGGTTTGAATACCTCCATAGCAGATGGTGGAATTTGAATTCAATGTGGAGAAAAGAAATCTGGAATTAGGAGTCTAATGATGATCATGAATCTATTGTCAATTGTTGGAAAAACCCATCTGGTTCACTGACGTCCTTTAGGGAAGGAAACTGCTGTCCTTACCTGGTCTGGCCTACATGTGAAGCCAGACCCAAAGCAATGTGGTTGACTCTTAAACTGCCCTCTGGGCAGTTAGGGATGGACAATAAATACTGGCCTAGCCAGCAATGCCCTTAGCCCATGAATGAATAAAAAAATTTGAGTGCTGCATCAAATGCCAAAACCCAACAGTTCCCAAACTCTACCTAAGTTGTGATTAACTACCCACTCAAGGGCTGGTGCCCTATTCCTTTCTTGATGTCTTATGGTCTTGGACTTTCTTCTTCAGTCATTTGTTGGAGCCTCCTATTTTCAATACCGAATTGTCTAACATAATTTTGATTCTTCTTGATCTACATCCCTCTAATCTTCCTTCAATCACCTCTTTTGGCAAGTTCTACATTAGAATGCGGCCAATCTAACCTGGTCTTATTTTCTTGATGATATTCACCAACAATCTTTCATCCTCCATCATCCAGGAAACAACATAATTGCTCTTGTTTTCTCTCCAGCTGACCCACTTCATCCTTTCACAATTTTCTAGTCATTGAATGTCCACTTTTCTCCCCATAATAAACTTCAATCATCATCCTGCTCACATCAGCTGTGAACAATTCAGTTTTGACAAGGGTTGTTGAATTAGAGAGGCTGTAGTAGTGATAATTGTGTTAAGCAAAAGAAGCATTGAATACCCACAAGAAATATACACCTGCTTTATGGATTACAAGTATGCTTTTGACCAGGTGAGCTGGCAAGAACCGTTGAAAGCGCTAGAGGCAATCAAAGTTGATTGCATAGCTAGGAGAATAATTGTAGCCCTATGTACATGACAGACTGCAACAATAAGGGCAGTGTTGGATGAAACTGAACATACCAGGCATGGAGCAAAATAAGGCTGTCTACAATCACGTTTGCTCTTCAAAATCTATCCAGAAACCAGGGTAAAAGAAACACTGAATGAAGTTAGAGTAAAGTCCTTAAAGTATGAGGTCTTTTGATGAAGGTAGCAGCACAGCAAAAGATTAACCAATTCTGATGAGTAGAATGGTTGCAGTGGTGAAAGCTTATGGAATGACAAACAAAGAAAAGAAGGTGAAAGTTATGAAGATTGAAAAAAATAATAGCAGGAATGTAGAGGTAAACACATTGAACAATTATCACAGTTAAGTACCTAGGAAGTGCCTTGTCAGAAAATGGTAACTACTATAAAGAAATGGTGACTATGATCGGGATGGTAAAAAATGCATTCACTAAACATGAACATTGCTCAGCATTAGAATGAATGGCAATCTTAATAAGATGATTACCATATTCCATCCTGTTGCTTAATATTCAGATACAATAGTCGGTCAACTTAAAAAAAAACATAAATACACATTTATGACAAAAATAAAATAAAACCTTGTTATTAATAAAGTATGAAAGGTTTAAAAAAAAGCACATCACCCTTGTCTTCAAATCTCCAACTTTTTAAACCTGTTCCAATTACAGGTTGTAGATTACCCATAATTTAACTTTGTTTTTCATACAACACCAATCCTTATTGTGTCAAATGCTACTTTTAAAAAATAGATTTTTGAATTCACTCATAGGATAAGGGCATTGCTGGCTAGACCAGCATTTATTGACCATCTGTAATTGCCCAGATGGCAATTAAGAGTCAGTCTTGTTACAGTGGGTCTGGAGTCACATGGGGGCCAGACCAGGTAAGTTTGATAGATTTCCTTCCCTAAAGGACATTATTGAACCAAGTGGGTTTTTCCTGACAATCAACAATGATTTCACAGTCAGCTTTAGACTCTTAATTCCAGATTTTATTTAATTGAATTCAAATTTTGTCATGGTGGGATTTGAACCCAGAACACTAGCTGAGGTTCTGGATTAACACTCTAACGATAATACCACCAGGCCATTACCTCCCCTTGATGTGTTGTAACATGATCAAAATATAACAGTTAAAATCATGAACGAATTTCCGGTAGCTCCAATAACATTGAAGTTCTGTGTCATCAATCTTGTAAACATTTTTTACCAGAAGCTACAAAGAAAACAGCTCTTTCAAACGGGCATGAAAAGTGCAAAAGAAAGATTGCTGGATCTGCTGAATGCAGGTTCCGATTGGTAAAACTTGCTTCCTTCAGTTTTGCCCTGAAGTTTAGTTTCTTCAGCAATATACTGGAATAGTGGTTCTCATAATTGAAGAAAAATAGAGCTAACATTTTAAGTCCAGTTATCCGTCTTCACATCACCACCATGTTCCCTGACCAACATGTCTGTCTCAGGCTTGCTGCAGTTCTCCAGCGGAGCTCAGCCTAAGCTGTAAGAACAGCACCTCATTTTCTGCTTGGGAACTCTACAGCCTTCTGGACTTAATATTGAGTTCAACAATTTTAGGGCCTGAGCACCTTCTCCTGTGACCATACTTCAACCTCCACACACCAGGCCTTATTATTACCTGGGCTGCAATCACATACAACCCATTGTTGGCTACTGATAGTCCCCATTAGCATCAATTTATTCTCTCAGGCTGACTGTTATCCACTCCTTTGTCTGTCCAACTGTTTTTCTCTCCCTTTGGGCTCTACCTCCACCTATTATTTCCTCCTTGCTTCCCTCTACCATATCTTATGCAGAAGTACCAACCTTTCCTAGCAACAATCAGTTCTGAAGAAGGGTGACTGAACTCAAAATGTTAAACCTGATTTCTCTCCATAGATCCTGTTGAACCTATCTGTTTTTGAGTCTATTTATATTGAATGATTGTAGATTGGTTTGAAAAAAGTCCCTGAAAAGCCTTTGGAAGTGAAACCATTTTTTGAACAAGACGTCTTGTAAATAATGCATCTTGTAACACTTGATCTTTTGCTGGAAAACCCGGCTGTGGCAGCTTGAACAATGCTTTGGGCTTACAGAATATTTTTATTTTTAGTTAGTTGATTAACAAGTTGATTACTTAATTAATTAGAAGCCATCTGAAGAGAAAGCAGCTTCCCAGTTCAGTGCTCCTATTTTGAAGCATCTTTGTTGTGAGATCAGGATGAAATCTGATTGTTCTTCTGGATGAATAACCAAAAGAACTCCTCAATATTATATTTCCTGAGCAAGCTGTGTCTGCCAAGATCCCAGAGACAATCATGCATGATTAGTGATTTGACCACATGTGCAAAGACTCCAGAATGAGTGAGTTCAGGACATTTTACGTCTTATCATCTTTGTTTTCGACTGTAACCACCATTGGCCAGAAAGTGTTTTTTTTAAAGGTGAATTTCTACAGATTTCCTTTACCTGAAAAGTTTGTTATCTGTATGTGTGCTTCTGTGCTGTACGTCTGTTTTGGATTATATCAAAGGATAAACATCTATATATTCATATGCTAAGTTACAGTTCTTCATCTTATTGAATGGATTTTGTTTTATAATAAACCAATAATTCTGTGTTTAGAGAAAGCAAGTTGATGGATCTTTTAATTCTAAGTCTTATGTACAGAAAATATAGGATTGACCATATCAGGATTTGTTTAATATATTTTCATCTTGTGTTCTGACCCAAGCAGTAGTGGGATTAAAATGACAGTGCACTCCTCCCATCATGGTTATAGTGTAATACTAATCTATTTCTTGTGTTTGCATACAGCGAGATATTATCAAGGGGTATAGTTAAGATAAATAGGGTTGTATCAGGGATGTGAGATTATTTGATCAATGTGGGGGTGAAATGTGGAACAAAAAGAGAAATGGGAAGCTGGCAGAAGGAGTTGAAAGGAAATGGTGGAGGGAGGCTGGAGATGGGATAGCGAAAGGGATAGAGAAAGGGAAAGGGAAAGAAAAGACTGAATGGGGAAGGAAAATGCTTGGAAAGAAGGCTAAAATTGCACCTAAATATGCATAAAATTTACATTCAAATAAGAAATAAGGGATTAAATAATCAGTATGAGGGATGACAGTAAAATGGAGTTGGAAGACAGGTCAGGCTGGTGTTATGGGTGGTATTTTACATGTGGTGATTATTTCCCTTTCCAGGAAATTGAATTAGAGATTTTGAAGTACGTTGTATATAAGTTGCTAATATTATGATTGACCAACCACCTTGCCAATGAAATGACCTATTTTTATATTCATATGGTTTTCCGGAAGGCCGTTTAAATGTTTTTGTGTCCTGACTGCATGTTATTTCTGCTGACTGTTGGTGAGTTAAGAATGTATTTTGGGTCTGTCATATAATATTTGGTGTTAGGCGCTATTCCAGTCCATTCAATTTAATATGTAACATTATGTTTGTGGTGTTATTCGCCAGAGCAGTATTTGTAAAATGTTGATTTTGTCTTTAACTGTATATAACAATAAAAACAAAGCTTGAATGAGTAACTTTACTGTTTCCTAGTGTGGACAATAAAAGATGTGACGAATTTAAAGTAATAATAAGCATCTGACATCTGCTATCAAATGCTGAACCAAGCCTGTAGCTTTGTTAATTACTAGTATTAACATTGTACAGAAGAAGCAACATCACTGGCGGATGATGAAGGGATTGGCTATGAACGGTATTCCAAGATTCTCATTGCATATCTTTTATAGATAAATAAAACTGATGGAATTATCAATCCATTACCATTACAAAAATACTGATTGAATTACTTGCTTGTTTTGGATATCCCATCTCCGTAAGTAAAAAGTTAAAAATATCCTTCCGACTCTTTATAGTTCTGAGGAGGTAAAATCTTTGGAAAAGCACTAAGTGACCTGCCTTATCTTGGCTGTTTATATACCTCTGCACAATACAATATTACAACCTTTTTTTTACATATTACATTGGACAGGTCGAACACCAACACCACTCTGAAGGTTATGCCTGTAGAAGAACAGAATGCATCTGTGAATTCAAACGAATCTTTGTTAGATTATAGCAATGCAAAGGATGAGAGTGAATCTCTTTTGAAAGGTATGGAAGATTCCACAATGATGTCTGGGAAGACTGAAATTCTAACAATAAACCAGAATTTTGAGCTAATTTTGATATTACCCATAATTACTTCTATAAAAATTATTTATTGTTTAATTTTTGTATTTGATTTTGAGGTATATTTGCTTTGTTTTCCTTTGCATTGTTTTTTGCCAATGTTTGATATTTCATGGTTAGGCAAATTCACAAACACAACATGCCATGACCCCCAGGAAGCTCTGAGAAAGTACAAGGATGAAGTTCTTAAATAAAGTTAATTATTTGGATACGAGTGTCACTAGAAAGGTCAGCATTTATTGTCCATTCCTAGTTTTTCTTTAGAAAATAATAATTGCCTTCTTGAACTGCTGAAGTCCATGTGGTGAGGATCTTCCATTTGTGCCATGTTAGGATTTTAGTTATGAGAATAACTGGACAAGCGGCATCTTTGTCATGATCCAGTTTGATAGACCGTAGCCTTATGAAGAGTAGAATGCTTGGAAGATTCATGGATAACAAACTAAGTGACAGGATTCCACGTTTGAATGGAAACATTGAAAAAAATCATCATACGAATTAAAATAATCAAGCAATAATAAAATAGATATACTGAACAGGTAAGAACGGGTAAAATAACACTTCTAAACCATATGCATTATATAAACTACTTAGACTTGAACATTCAGGATTAATATGAATTAAAATGAGGTAACAACCAGTGATTCAACACCCCTCAGATTTCACTTTAAATGATTGATGTGGTCAAGAAAGATGCCAAACGGACATTAGTAATACTGGTCACCAAACCTCTCTACAATACTGTCTTCTTTACACAGAATTCCCATTCTTCACTCTCAAAGATTTAGCCTTTGACAGGAAGGGTGGAGTGTACAGGCAAGAGTGCACCACCAAAGAGAGGGAAAGTCATGCAGGGAATAGTAGTTAAAAAAAATGAAATCACTTCAAATGCCTGTGCAGAGCTAGATGAACTTGTGCCACAGAGATAAACAATTTAGATCTAATTGCCATTGTAGAGACATGAAGCATGATGCTCTCTTTGCTGGAGGGGGCAAGAAATAGAAATATTTACGCAAGTTTACTTAAGAGTGAAACTCAACCTTTTCTCTCCAACTCTGTAACTGAATGTTGGGCATGCAGGTCCATAGGCGACTTTCTTGGCTCACTAGAAATTAAGACACTCAAGCGGTCAATTAGTGGCCACAACCACCTACCCAACTACCTGTCTCCTGGCAAGCAAGAAAGGTGGTTAGTTTAGGAAATCATGACAACTTGCCTGTGGAGTTGACGCTACCATCAATTGCCCCAATCTGGAATACCCACTTCTCTCCACGACTTGCCGAAAAGAATTAAAAAACATACTTTCTCATTCCTGGATCCTGCAAAGTGGTAGGCTTTGATCAGTGAGCTTTAGGACCCTCTGATTGTCTGGCAGTTTCTGGCAATCCAGTATCGATGTGATACTCACCTTCATTCACCTGCAAGCTCTTAAAAGCAAAGTTGGGAGTGAACATTAGAACAAAAGAATTAGAAGTAAGCTATTTAGCCCCTCAGGCCTGTCCAGCCATTCAACAAGATCGTAGCTGATCTGTCACAGGCTTCAACTTTCCTTGTAGCCTTCAACTCCCTGATATTTCAAAAAATTATCTACCTCCTCTTTAAATGCTTTCAGTGATCTAGCCTCCACAACTCTCTGGGGTAAAGAATTTGAAACATACAATATTCCTTTGTCTCACAGATTTAAATGAGTGCCCTCTTACTCAGTAACAGTGTCCCCTCATACAAGATTTCCCCTCTCGTGGAAAATCTTTAAAAAGTTAAACCCTCTCAATCTTATATATTTCTATAAGATCATCTTTCATTCTTCTAAACTCTAATGAACAAAGGCCGAACCTGTTTAGCTGATTTTGATAAGTCAATCCATTCATCCCAAGAATCAGCCCAGTGAATTTCTCTTGAATAGTCTCCAATGCCAGTATATCTTTTTTCAAATATGGCAACTAAAACTATATGCAGTACTCCAGGAGCAGCCTTACCAGCACCCTGTACAGTTCCGACAAAATTTCCTTACATTTACATTCCACACTGCACCCCCCCCACCTCAATAATGGCCAGAAAGTCACCACCTCACATACTCAGCTCCATACTTAAAATAAAAATAGAAAATCACACCCATGGTTTAAAAGTGATCCATTTCACCAAATAATTTTCCATCATACACAACATTTTGAAAACAACAGGCAAATTAGAGAAAGAGTCCTGATTACAAAGATTAGTGATTAGTGAGAAAGGAATAAAAACAGGAAGAGCTGGAGAAACTCAGCAGGTCTGGCAACATCTGTGGAGGTAGAAGCAAAGTTAATGTTTCAAGTCCAAAATGACTCTTCTCTGGAACTCAAAGTTAGTGAGAAAGAATCTTGGCTCAGAAAGTCAGGAAATAGAATCCATTTGGGTGATTCCGAGA